CACACACACACCCTCACACACACACACACAATCACACACACACACACACACACACACACACACACACACACACACACAACACACACACACACACACACACACACACACACACACACTCACACACACACACACACACAACCACCTACATGTATACAATATGCTTCTTTTACCATATGACATTCAGCTCAAACAAGACGAGTTGTACACACACAGGGCTTTTGTCAGATTTTTCAAGGGTGACTGCATTATTTACCAAGGATACATGCCATTTGAGTATTGAAAGTTAGTATGAGGAATATCTTCCCCCAAAACCGGATGCCTGAAGTCAATGTGACATCAAGTGGTATAGGAAGTTAAGCTGGCTGATCATTTTTAGCTGAAGGTACTTGGAAGCTGACACGTGAGTGCCAAGAAGAAGCAGATTTTTAAACGGCTTGGTAAGATAAGAAATTGTTTATTTTGGCACTTTTAGCAGAGAATACCAAGAAATACAGGACAAATGATATGAAGGTATGTTACATTGCTTGAAGGGGTAAAATTACACACATTTATTTTCAATCAACTTGTTTTTAAATAATGTAGCTGTTGACCAAATGCAGAAAAAAAGAAAAGTTTTTGAGAGGCTTTAAATTGTTGTCATTTGCAATTTTCAATTGTATACAACCTGAAATGCCCATTTCAAGTTTTATAGTACGGTATGTGCTGCAATTATAAGGATCATATGTAAGTGTAAAAACCAGGAAGTACTGTAGATTGCACCTAACAACTCAGTTGAAATGAACCAAATACAATTGTGCAATGATTCATCTTTTTTTTCATAACTGCAACCGACATTTAGAGGATTTCTAAAGCATGAATTCCCATTTTTCAAGACCACTAACAATGTTAGGACATGTATGCACTAAAGTGGCAGGTGCTCAGTTTTTAAGATCCCACCTAACAATTATTTCCATGCTCTTGATTGACAATCTTAGACAACTTTAAGCCAGGTCTACACTCGACTGACCCAATAATCAGTAATACACGACTCTTAGGTCTATACTGCTAGACCAATCTAGTTCTATGGGAATGGGGTCCAAGAGCAGTGGATGATATCACACAATGGCAAAAGCCCAATGGCAATATAGGCTACTTCTGATGAATTCCATTTCTTCTACAGGCTGGTAGGAAGATTTTCAACAGTGGCTGATTATATAATTAAAATTCAGTGAGTGTGATTACAGTGTTTAGATATTCAAAGCTTACATAAGACTGTCCATAAAATCTGCCATGTGCAAAACAGTTTTTAATGATCACAGAAACTAAAGCTACACACATGTAGAAGCAGTGAATAAAACAAGCTAGTGGCTTTACAGTACTTGTAATTTACAAAAATATTATAACTACTAGCCGCTGGCAAACGGAGATCATTAAACCGCTTGACTGACATATATATCTTTAAAATACATTGATGTCCAATGATAATAATATTCTGTTTTAGTATTGAATAATATCTACCACTTACCCTTTAAGTTCATGAAGCTAGGTGATTTTCTAAGTTTAAATAACTCCAGCTATAAGTCCTTCTTAAATAAAAAGATGCTTCCAACCTTCCACCTGAGTTAGACCATAATGTACCCTGTACAATGAATTTAATTGGTCTCTACAACATTTAAATAGTTCTGAGTCATAATTATTGTTAAGACTTTCTGAATAATGATTCAGTGGAGGAAATCCCACTATAAATATCTTTATTTAAGGAGGGGGTCACATACTAGTGCGCAGTAATAGCTGGAATAAATACAGTAATATTTTTTGGCAAATACAATTTTTTGAATTTATGATCTTTCCTTTTATACAATGGAAGATGTGCATTACATAGATTCTATAAATAGATTTTAATAAAAAAATAACACTTAAAGGTATTCTGCATGCATTAAAAAATTCCCCACAGTTATATATAGATCCTGAAAATCTTAATTCTTATGTTTCACAATTCAGAACTTTAAGACGATAAAATCCCTTTCAATTTTTATCTGAAGCATTGCTAGTGTCATTTTTATCTTCTCAGCCTTCTCAGGTAGCCATGACAGCTTGCAACATCTATATACATAACACAAGGCCGCAATACAAAACAATACACCATTTTCTTGCATAATGGAGTGAAAATGAAACCTTTTCCGTTAAAAGTCAAGAATGCATATATATATATATATATATATATATATATATATATATATATATATATATATATATATATATATATATATATATATATGTCATCCTAATGACTGTCAAAGACTGTCAAGTCATTCAGAACTAAATAAAATTTATTTTAAAAAAATGGAATGAATCATTGAATTCAAGTGCAGGGACTGGCCAAGCAATGGCCTGATTGAGAGTAGGAACAATTTTTAAAGGAAAATTCATTTTGGCAGATAGCCCCCGGACAGAGTACCTTTCAGAATGACATGGACATCAAAAACAGATCTAAATCTATACAAAATGACACATTGATCAGGCCACATCAAGGTGTTTGCATATCAATTGAAATCATGACAACTGCGACTGCAGCTTACAAAAAACAAGGAAGTCCTGTGTCAAACTGGGTGTATGCAGCGATAAATAACACTTTTACAAAATGACACACACACACACAAAAAAAAAACAACCTTCTGGAATAAAGTGTTTACACACTAACAGTGAAATAACAAAAATTCCAATAGTATGAAAAAAAAAAAAGGATTTCATCTGGGATACCAAATACATGTTTATAAATCCTAGGGTAATCCATTATGTACTAGTAGACATCCAGGAAGAAAAAATTCTCCAGTTTCCTTCATAAAAGAGTGACCAAATATATGGACAATCAGGGGCGGATCCAGAGATATTTTCTGACAGTCTTCCAAATTATCTTTGTTAATTCGTCTTCAATTTTTGACCGTCTTCCGAAAGAAAATATTAGATACCCATCAGTGTAAACTTAAAAAGCTGACCGTCTTCCAGAAGACCCAGAAGACGGCCTAAATCCGCCCCTGACAATAGCCAAAAGCTCCTGGAACACAGTGCTATCAGCTTTAATCAAACTTAATTTAAAAAAAACCTACTGAAAATAACTTTAAGCAATTTCATTGATTTTTATCAATGCTATTTATGTAATGTGAAATGTATTCTTCTACGAAAATCAGTGGTCATTTTGGGTATTTTTATATGTCGTCCCAGCTAACCCTTTGAGCAACTTTGCTAAAACTGTAAGAGTTTCAGGACCCCATTAGGCCTAAATAAAGAAACAAGCTTCATGTGTGAACAACAATTAACTTCTAGATTATGACTTAAATTCTTCTGGTCTAATTCTACACATTAAATGAATGTCACTATGTATGTTATGATCACAAAAAGCTAAATTTCAGAGATGAAAGTACATGGGCCTTCATAAAATCCTGAAATTGCCAAGAAAAGGGGAAGGGGGGGTTTATATGTCCAAGTAAATGCAAAAAAAAAAAAAAATTCAATAATATTCTTACCTTAAAGGTGACCACCTTGATACCCAGTGAGCCTCTGTGGGCTCCCTCTGCTGGGGTCAAAGTCACGGAATATGGCAGACTCCATTTCACTGCATCAGGATTGCGTTGGATCCAGGATAAAATCTCAGAATGCTGGATGTCTGTCAGAGGCTGGGACATCACATTATGTGTGATGCACTTCTTTAGCTCTGAAAATATATAAAATTATTTTATTGAACTTGGGGGCAGTTTGGAATGAGTAACCTCAACATGGGTCACTATCGACTGCTGATTAATCTGATTCCAATGACTGCATTCTATCAAATATTCTCTGTAGAGTTGGGCCGACCCAGCTTGTACAACATGTGAATCTGAATGCGCCCTTTGATTTTGCCTGTTTGATAACTAGAAGCAAGGGCACATGTAAAAGTCTGACTTTTACCTGATCAGCCAAGTACGTACAGAAAGTCTAAAAGTCAAAGATTGAACCTTTTCCTGTCTTCTACATCTTCTTCTGACTTTTGCAAGTGAGCAATTTTTGCCACAGACACTGCGGTTACAGATAACAGGATTTATAACCTTATAGCAGACATGAAATGTCCCTACACATTACCACAGACATTAACAGAAGAACATTAACATTTTCATCTGAAACATTTTGCCTTCAGTTAAGACAATGACACTATAAAGAGGCCACTGGGGAAAGCACTGACCAGTGACATTAAAATACCTGTCTGAATACTTTTGTGTTATGGGCTGTTAATACATCAAGAAATATTGCTAATGGGTTCTGAAAATACTTAATTTTTACAGGGGTAGAGCAAGGAATTTTTTCTTGTTTTAGCCAAACTTGAAACTTATTTTAAAAGCAGTCTTTCTGCCACTACTGGAAAACAAGACAGTGAGTCAATAATGGAAATTTAAGAGAAACTGGGCTTAATCCATTAAATTAATGAAAATGTAAGCTTCTAAATATTTTAACATTTTCCAAATAAACCTCCTGACGATCGGGCATACATTCTGGGTATGCCCGTGAAACTCAAAGTTGGGGTTATTGCATGTCTCTTGTTTATTTATTTATTTATTAATTTTAATTGTGTACAAATGCTCCGGACTGTTGAGCACTCTGTTCCACACTCACGCTTGCTATATATATATATATATATATATATATATATATATGGCCGTTTCCTGTGTTCATTCGCGACTGGACTAGTTTTATTCTAGTATTTTGCCCTGTGTTGCTGTATTGCGCATTATAGGGCGCATTCCCATAAATTTTAGATCGATCTATCCCCGTGGGGAGTCTCACTAGATTACTTTCAGAAAATCCGACTTAAATGTCTGTCCCACCTACTACAAGCTGTAAGGGGGTAATTAACTTTTGTGCCTGCTAGGCTGACAGCTATTTAGCGTGAACCCCCAGGGAGATAGGTCGATCTAGTTGGATCGATCTAATCTTTGGGAATGGGGTCATAGTCATACCCTCCTGTTACCTGTGTGTGGGCAATATATCAAACACATGTTCATGTATCACTACTTAATTAAGCCTAAGGGTATCTAAAATTCTACATTTCTGTTCTGTCTAGAGGCTGTTCAGCAGTCATTTTCACACTTTAGATATCTAACAGTATAGTTGCATATAAGTGCTGTTCATAAATGCAATTAACATAACAAAATCGTATTGAGACAGAATCTGTTTTTGGAATCATTTCTATATCGCCAAGCAA